CGCAGTCTGACGGTATCGATTCAAGCTCAGCGATAATGCCTATGCGAGCACTCAGGAAGGCAAGTTTAGCGAATGTACGCTCCCGATCATTCATAATCAGGCAAGTGCCAGAAGACTGGAGTTGGGATCGGGCGTATGCGGCCGGAGCCACCCGGCCGGACTCATATCCCACGGAGTGGGAGTACCAAAAAGGCTACAGGTTGCTGGTGCCTGAGTCTGCACCTACACGTGCCACCATCCTGCCTGGCTTAACCGAGGCACTGTTAAATCCATATGTAATGCGATTTCGATGCACTTGGCTGACAGCGGTCACGGGGTCGGCGTCAACCAAGCGTTCCCAGTCATTTATTAAGTACCCACGAAACACTCCAAGTTTTGAGTCAGTGGATATTTGAAACGGCAGAAGCAGTCGCAATTCGGCTAACTTACCCCCATTTTGTGTGTGCATAAGGCGTTTATACAGGCACTAAGGCTCCCTTGGCCGAAAACCAATTCAGACTGCGTCCTTACGCCTCCTAGCACGTCGCGAAACCGCAACGACGCGGTAACATGCAGTAATTGTTTGACACCTTCTCCCTCCTCCCTTTCTGGAACCTTGACCTGTCCTAAATCTGAGCCCTTGATTTGTGAACACTTTCTCCCCCTTGTTTACTGTCTTTTGGATGTTTAAACTTTTGTCACTCTACCCTTACATTATTTTACTTGCCCGATTATGGGTAATCGAAAACTTACCTTCACTAAATTTGACTTCTTGGGTGTTGGTTTGGACAAGGTATTGCCACTATACTTGTCAGTGATGCGAGGTTTAAGTCTCGTGTGTGACTGTAGGTCTACCAAGAATTCATGAACAGAAATTCTTCAAAGATTTGGATCATGCTTCCAACGTACCTAGCACAAATGCTTTTCATATTACCTGCAGACGCTGAACAGATGCTATCTTTATGACTCACCTAGGGATGCACACACATATGCGCACAATCCTTGTCAAAAAGATCAAAATGTATGTGTTGTCTTCGCAATCTCGAAAAGTTCGTCAACTCCTGTAATCTACTCGGCATAACCTTGCCCTCCAGTTCGGTAGTTGTGGTACTGTTCACATTACAACATAAGAAGAAAACCCAAGGCTCTACTAGCAAAACACTCTTCTTCTAAGCCCATAGAGGAGTTATGCATTGTGGAATAATTTGTCCGTGAGTTGGCATATTGGAAATCCGAAATATAGGATGACACACGTTGATCCATGCGTCATGTAACATATGCATGTGCCGAGCACCGGTCGGGACGCCACAAAAGGCCAGGGAACGAACACACAGGGGGCCGACACCAAAGTAAGCGGCACAGCGACAGACAGGAAACAGACAGACGAGGAGACTGAAGACGCGGCGAAAGACACACACAGTGACTTAAACATGATTGGTAGAACAGGCATACGCAAGAAAGGGCCAGAGTATCCATTCTCTGAAGATGGGTAGAAGGGGAAACTACCCGAAACGTTAGACTTGTAATAAACCTCTCCTGGTGAACGCCCCTCTTACTTCTGATTTAGCACCCGGGAGTCGAATTTTCAGCAGTATTACATTGAAATGTATTGTCAAATTATTAATTGTTCATTT